ATCACTAATGGACTTGTCTTATAAGAAGTACTTAAAGGGGTCCTTGAAGTTGAAGTAAATGGATGATAAATCACAACATGAAACCATACAAAAATGTAGAACACCACAGTGAGGGTAAATATGTAGACCAATAGAATCCTGTAGTATCATATGCAGAAGCATAAAAACAAATGTGTTCATAGACATACAACACAAAGAGGCAATTTGTGTCACCTATAAACTGGGGGAGGCAGAGAAGTAAACGAGAAAATTTTTATTTGTATTTGAAGATAAGTTGGATTCAGTTTAAAAACAGATGGTCATAACTTTAAGATTTGTTATGTAATCCCAGTGAAAAATATCCATAGAATGTACCCCAAGGGGAATGAGAAGGATATCAGCACATACCACTAGAAAAAAAAGTCAAGTCAGTGAAACATAAAATCAGGCGGTGAGAGAGGTGGGGAGGAATGGAAGTGCTATTAGACATACAGGAAGCTATTAATATCATAGGAATGACAAGTTCTTCCCTATCAGTAATAACTTCAGATGTAACTGGATTAATTGTCCCCAATTCAAAACAGATTGGCTGAAAGAAAAAAGAAATTAAAACAAGATCCAATCATATGTTGTCTGCAACACAGTTGCTTTATTTATTTTAAACGATAGACATTTACTTCTTACAGTTTTGGAGAGTGGGAAATACAAGATCAAGGTGCCAGCAGACTTGGTTCTTTGCAAGGTCCCCTTCCGGGCTTGTCGATGACCACCTTCCCTCTGTGACCTGACGTGGTGCAGAGAAGGATCTCTCCCTCACTTCCTCCCCTTAGAGAATCACTGATCTCATCATAAAATACTCACTTTAGTCCTAAGGACACACATAACCTACTAGTGAAAAGACAGAAAAGTGTGTTTCCTGCACAGGAAGCTAAAGAGAACAGAGGTGACCATACTTACGCCCGACAGAGTAAACGATGAGAAAAATCATCATCAGAGACAAGGGAAGACATCATATAATGAAAGAAGGGTCAGTTCACCTGAAAGACACGATACCTAAGAAAAATTATGCACCTAACATTAGAGCTCTCTCCATGCAGCAGACCTGGATGAAACGAAAGGGAGAAAAAGACAACAGTACAATAATAAGAGACGTCAATATTGTACTTCCAGTTAATTTATTTTTTTTTGAGAAGGGGTCTGGCTACGTTCCCAGGCTCATCTTGAATTCCTGGGGTCAAGCAAATTCCTGCCTTAGCGTCCCGAGTGCCACTGAGCCAGGCTGCCTTCAATTGTGATTAGAACAAAACTGGGTTGAAGTTCAGTGATAGAACAGGAAAACCTGAACCCCACCACAGAGCACTCAAACCTCACACACACACACACACACAGTGGTACACAACCACTGCAGAATACACAGTCTTCTCAAGAGCAATGAATATTCAACCAGATAGACAGACCCCACTTGAGGCCACAGAACCAGTCCTCACAGGTTTTATAAGACCAAAGTCATACAAAGTAATCTCTCTGTTCGAAGTGAAACGTAACTGGTGGAAATAAACAAGCAAAAAATTCACATATAGGTGGAAATCAAACAACTCACTGTTTAACAACCCAAGAGTTAAAGAAGAATCCCCAGAGGAATCTAGATACTATCTAGAGACAAATAACAAGAAAAACACAGCCTACCCGG